TCAGTAAAACATCCAAATATGAAACAAATGTGATAGACTCTGTGGTGTCTTTTATCTCAAGTTCACTGGGATATATCGAGTCGACATATGAAAGGAAATGATTATTGTCAAGGGTATCCGCTCCTTGGCCAGGAAGGATAACTTTTAAAATTATTATTTAATTAAAAAGGTCTCAAATTAAAGTTTGCAACTGAAATCTTTTTGTGCAACAATTTTCATTTTATGCATCTCAATAAGGTTATTTGAAGTCAAGGAAACTTTATTGTAAAAAGTTTGTATTTGTACCCCATAAAAGTACAAACATAACTACATTTATTGAGAAGTCAAATTTCCTTTAATTTAGCCTTAGATAATATGCTTATTAGCGTGATATGATATTAGAAATGTTCTGTTATTCCTCCTAATGGTAGCACAAGCCTTTTACACTATGTGTTATATACCAATTGAAGAAAATATAAAAAACTAATATACCTAATATAACTGTTCGTTATCTCCATATATTTCACCGTAAAAGTTTAAAAAGACATAATTTTCTCCGAAAGCCTGGATACCCATAATTTTTTTTATCCTAAAATATATTTTTGATCAGTTTGCAATAAAAAAAAAATGTATATCTTGTGCTTTCGTTCGCGTTTCCTGAAAATGTATTTGAGAATTGATAATTTTCCCTATATAATATGATTAACTATAATAATGAACTTTGAAGAAATACACATGGTTAAATACACATTACTTCTTGAATTCAGAAACATTTTTGTGAGCATTTTCAATTATCTAACTGCTGATTTTCAGAACCTGAGGATCAGACTACCTTAATTAATTAATAATACGTCGTCGATATATCTATAAATGTCGAGTTGAAGGACACAGCAAGTGTTTTCTTCTCATGTTGAAGTTTTTGAATAAATTCTGCTTTATAGGAATATAAAAAAAGGTCGGCTAATAAAGGTTCGTAATTAGTACTCATCGAAATTCCAACAGTTTTTTGGAAAAATTGGTCTCCGAAGATTTCAAAAATGTTGTCATTGAGGAACTCCAGCATCCTTTTAATATCAACTTCAGAGTACTTATGTGTAGAATTAGAGTGATTTTTAACAAAGCTAATTTGTTGATGACCAATCACAAGTTAAGAAAATTTTTGACTTCCATTTTTATTGAAGAAGCAATTGTCTATAATATTAAAAAGCCTAGTTTTTAATTTATCGTGAGGAATGGTTGTATGAAGTGTAGAAAAGTCGTACGAGTTGATGTTACTGACTTTTGAAAAATTTGCGATTTTAAATTTTCTAAAAGTTCTTTTGAGTTTCTGATAATCCACATCTGATTTACACCACTTCTAGAATATGTTGTAGCATAGTACATCTGAAGTTTCCCCTTTACAGCAGTTAATATTTTTTAAGCAGTAATGATAGGGGGCGTAGTAGAGCATTTGCTGGACCCGGCATCTCTGTAAGAATTTTTATGCATGTGATCTGTAGTATTTTTGTTTTTAAACATTTTTGCTAGTGTACTTTATTTACACATTTTAGTAATCATGCATCTGTACAGTTACATGTAATATTATTTCAGCCAACCATCAGACCTGTGTAGGTACTGCAAAGAAATAGAGAATGGATTTAGAGAGCTTAAACGTATGCTCAAAAAGAAAAACAACTCACCCGAAAAATTGAGGTCTATATTAGAGAGAATACAAAGGAACTTGGAAATGTTTGAAGAGGTTTGTAGGGATTCTACTTATCATGGTGGCATATTTATGCCATCCACATAATTTTTTGTCAACATAAGATATGCGTCAAGTCAAGAGAGCTATCTCGTCAAATCAAGAGAAAATTGCTGGTTTTGTCAAGATCCATCAACTTCTATCTACTCAAGATAAGCTATATATCACATTTTGTTGTGATAGCTATCTCGACATAACGAGATAATTTATCATGTATCATGACAATTGTTGCGTTGACAATTACAGTTGCAGTTACGATAACTGTACTAGTACAGTATATAAATAGATAATGTGTTACGGGTGCCTATGACATTTTCCAATGTAATAGGCTGATATCTTCTATCAAATTGTTATTCTAAAAAGTATTGCACGCACAATTTCTAAGGAATTCAGTTTGAACCAATGTCTGTTCAAACCGTGTATTTGTTTTCAGTAAAATAAAATTCAAGTAGATGTGAACCAAACCAATGAGCTTTTTACTAATTTAGTTTTAATATCAGAGATCAATACTTAGCTATAATATAATTATGGGTAGTTTTGAATAAATGATTGACTCTTCGCATTAATTGTTTTACTGATGCCATGCCAGTAACTAAGAAAAGACCCAAAATGGAAATTATGAAATAAGTAAATGGGTTGTTTTGTTTCATATTTAACAGAGAAAGTTTATGGAACGGTTTATATTCAAAAATCTTTATCTCTTAAAAATTTTATTCTTCCCAAAGACAAATACAAAATTTAAATTGATTCAATAGCAAGTATGGATTTTAAGAATAATTTCAATAAAAGAGATCCGAGTAAACAGTTATCATTACAGCATTTACGAAGAGGCATTACTTGTCAACGCAACAATTTTATCATGATACAAGATAATTAATCTTGTCATGTCGATATAGCTATTGCAAAAAAAATGTAATAGCGTATCTTGACTAGATGAGATAGAAGTTGGCGTATCTCGACAAAACCAGCAAATTATCTTGACTTGAACGTGATAGTTATCTTGTCTTGACGCGATATCTTATGTTGACAAAATTTAATTGGATGGCATAAATATGCCACCATAACTTATGAAAAATATGTATAGTAAAATGTATAAAAATAAGAAAACTATGGTGGCATATTTCTGCCCTCTAAATGCAAGATGAATTATGTAAACATGCGAGAAAAGTATGCCAACATGCAAGCTAATTATGTCTACATACATAATGATTATGTTGACATGCAAGTTACCAATATTTTTAGAGAATTTGATTTTAATGTTGGTAAACTTACATACTAAAGCCAGTATACGACATCATACAAGCAAGATGCAACATGAATATGTAGACATGCGACTTATTAATGTTAACATGCATGACAATTATGATAACATGCAAGATATTTATGTTAAGATGCAAGTTATTTATGTTAACATGCAACATAATCATGTAGTGATGCGATTTATTTATGTCAACATGCGAGTTATATTTTAACAAGCAAGATATTTATGTCAACATTCAAAATAATATGTTAACTTAATTATCTTGTATGTAGACACAAATAAATTGCATGTCTACATAATTATCTGGCATGTTGACATAAGTCACATGTCTACATAATTATCTTGCATGTCAACATAAATAAGTCACATGTCAACATATTCCTGTTGCATCATGCTTGTATGATGTCATATAATAGCGTTAGTAAGTAAGTTTACCAACATTTGAATTAGATTCTCTAAAGGGATTGGTACTTGCACGTCAACATAATTATTTTGCATGTTGACATAAATAAGTCGCATGTTAACATAATTTAATTGAATATTGCAGCCAACCATGGCTTTGCTTTCTCTACCTTCTCATATTATTATACTGTACTGTCTTCCAGCCACTGTTGAGAATTGACAACACCAATTTTAACCTTTCATAAGTTTATTAAGCAATCATATCACTATAGTACAATACACAAAATGTTGGATGGAAATGGCCGCAAATTTTGTAGGAGTCAAGGGAGACAACTAGGATACCATAAACAAACGGGCAAACTAGTGGCCTCGCTTAGATGCGAGTGCCATGGAACCCCATGCCTGACACGCATGGTGGCTAGGCACACAAGCTGCACAGCTTTTTCACCCTGTCTCTGGCTTGTTACCCAGCCTGTAGCCTCTCCTCCTTTTATAGAGGTAGAGGGGGTCTGAGCACTAAAATGCTGCAGACCCCAAGCAATTTACACTTCTTCCACACATATCCTCAATGGCATTTAACTTCCATGTTAACACACAGCCATGAGACACCCCTCATGCTTTGATGCAGATGGGCAGAGACAAACAGGTTAAGCTTATGCAGGGATGATTTCTCCCTTGATCCCGCCACTAACATCGATATGATGTTCCCCACTAAAATTTGCCCCAAACAATATTCGTCAGTATTAAGCCAATGACTAGTTCCCCACTAAATTTGCCGCAAACAATGTTTGTCAGTTGTAAGCCCCTGACAGGTTATCGCGACTGACCCAAAAGAACAAAATAATGCAAACTACTGAGGAGGAAAAATTTTGCCCTTCCCCCCTAAAATGAATTCCAAACCACCCTGGATATTATTTAAGTAAGCCTTGTTTCCCCTTTCTGATAAATGAGTTCCATCGTATCTAAATAAACTGCTTTGATGAACATTGATATTTTTGTCATGGACGATACAAGCCCCATTAACTTCAGACGTAATAAATTTTCTAATAGCTTTGTTAACCTTGCGCCTTTTTAAATCAATCTTAGCCCCACCCTTGCCTAGAGGTGCACCGTGCCAGTAAAGACGGGGAAGCATTGCTGACCAAATGAGCAAGGTTTTTGGAAGCATTACATTATAACGATACAAACTACATTGAATTTCATGTGAAAATCTTAGTGCAGTGTTGCCAGATGTTGTGAGATCATTTGACCCTGCATGGATAATCAATACATCTGAGTGTGGTTGATGCTTTAGTTCCTCAGTTAACACTTTGTCAAGGTCTTCCCATTTCAGCCCTCTTATTCCCTTCCAAGTGATGTCAATCCCAAGACTGAGGTTCTTTCCACCTGGTCTCCTCCCTGCCTCCTCACCAGCCCAATAAGGTATTGAAGATCCCACTATCCAAACTGTCTTGAAACCTGAGATACTTTTGGCAAAATTAGCCTGTATTCCATTTAACTATTCTATCACATTATAATCTTATGCAATTTTGAAAAGCATTTGATTCCCACCTGCCCAAAGCTTTAATTTCTGAATCAGGAGCCCCGTTTGGCCAGATCTGTGGCTCTACCTAATCTTTAGCTATGTGGTCTAAAATGTCCCTGAATGTCATTAAATTTAAGTGCTTTCTGTAGCATGCAATTGAATTGGTATCTTGTTACACTTTTGTTATCCATATGTATGAAGAATAAAATGGAACCACTGTCTTGACGCAGACGCAAAAACTTGAGTACCCACATTACTGGACAAGTATCAGAATTGGGTTGTTTAGACATATGCAATGTAGTTGAATTGCCATTTTGGTCAGTTTTCGACCTGGGAATGAGAATGCTGACCTTGCTCTTAGTAAGCGAGATGTGCAACCTATGGATCGACAGAACTTCACTTGCCCTAAGCAGACCATGATATGCAATTGAAAAAACTGTGGAAAATAGAACTGCCTCGTAGGGTGATCTACAAACTGATGGCAACGCTGCTACTAAACGTTGCAAAATGGATATCGCTAATGGACTTCGCGGATCTACAGTAATGCCTCGCTTTTTGTGGAGACCCTGCAGGGCTTTTTTGACAATAAATGATTGGGTGTTATCTTGGATGCCTCTTAATTTGTGTATATATGATAGATTACTAATGTACAGAGCAGCTGTTCTGTAAGCTGTACCTACAATAGACAAGTGGGCAATAAAATTCAGCAAGTGGTCAAAAGGGATAGGAAAAACCAATTTCATCTCACAATTGGTCAAGAATTTCTTGAAATTGGCCCCTTGATAGGCTTTGTATGTATTTGCTGATAGGGAACCCTGGATAAGCCTGTTTGCCTCACTTCTTAAATGTCCCATATATTCTTGGGAATTGGTGTTGGCCATGGATCTGCTGTAGGTGCTAGCCGTCGGAATTTGCCCCACTGTGAACGAGAGAGACAATCTGCAATAGAATTTAATTTGGATGGTATGTATCTTGCTTTAATTAAAATATTATACTTGAGACATGTGAGGACCAGTTTTCTTACAATTTTCATGACCCTAGGTGACCTTGATGTTGATGTATTAATGACCTGTACCACTGCCATATTGTCAATGTAAAACCAAATTCTGCAGTTGGAAAATTGATGCTTCCACAATTCAATAGCAACTTGGACTGGGAAAAGCTGTAAAAAAGTCATGTCTCGGGTTATGCCTTGTGCAAACCAAGTACTGGGCCATTGAGCACATGCCCACTTGCCTGCGAAATAAATACCAAATCCCTCGGAGTCTCCCCCTGCACTGTCAATGTAAAGTTGTAGAGTGTTATTGACCCATATGCCCTCTGTAATGACTGAAATGCCATTAAATGATTGAAAGAAAGTAAGCCAGACTTGAAGGTCAGCTTTCATTTCTAATGTTACCCTGGTGTGGTGATGTGGTTTGTTAAGACCGATTGTTGCATCAATTAAACGTCAACAGAAAGCCCTACCTGGAGCTATAACTCTACATGCAAAGTTCAAAAGCCCCAGTATTGACTGAAGTTGCTTAAGTGTTACCTTCTTTACATTTATAATGTCAATTATCTTTTGTTTAATTTCATCGATTTTTTCCAATGGTAATTTCATGATCATTTCCACCGTATCAAATTCAACACCTAAGAAAGTAAGAACTTGGGTTGGATATACTGTTTTATCATTTGCAATGGGGACCCCCAGGTCACTGCACAGGGAAAGAAAAGTGTCCAAGGGATGTTTGTTTATGGAATGCTCCCTGCCGCAAAACAGAAAGTCATCCAGATAATGTAAAATAGAGGAATTTTTTGAACGATCCTGTGTCAGCCCATGTAGAAAGCAAGCAAATCGATCCCAGATTGCACAGCTTATTTTACACCCAAATGGTAGCATTTTGTCATAATAAAAAGCATCATTAAAGTTAAAACCTAACAAATCAAAATCATTGCTATTAACTGGTAGCAACCTAAAAGATGATTTAATATCTGACTTTGAAAGGTAGGCCCCCCTTCCTTATTTGTTAATAATGGTAGCAGCATCATCTATAGATGAATAGGTCACAGAACTCTCTTCCGAGTCTATAAAATCATTTATTGATGCAGTTTCTGGATAAGATAGATGGCGAATTAGGCGGTAGTCACCATCTTTTTTGGGGACGAGGCCTAAAGGGGAAACTTGCAATGTTGGAAAAGGTGGTTCAATAAAAGGCCCAGCAACTCTCCCCAATATAACTTCTTTATATATCTTCTGCTCTGCAACTGAACTTTGTCTGCCTATACTTGCTAGATTTTTTGAAAACCTGGGTGCTCTAGGACCAGAATACTTTAAGTTAAAGCCATGTTGAAAACCCTCCCTTAAAAATTGATAATCAGGATAATTTTGTGTGTGGTGAATAATTCTATCTAATTTGATAGGGGTCTTGCCCAATTTATAAAGCTGACTTGGTGAGGCAGTTTGAAGCTGGATGTTTGCCTCCGCATCTTCTACAGATGTGCTTGAACCTGCACCTGGGGAAGAAATTACACTTTTTACCCTGGTTGAAATGGTAACAATACTGGGTAGCAGCAGATGTGCTGCTCTCACCTGAAAATTGTTTAGTGTTATTGACATGAGTTTGGCTTTCAAAGGGGCCCTGGCCAGTCACATACAGCAACCAAAATTCCTGACTTAAAATCCCCCAGGAGGATTCAGGATTGCTAGCTTTGCGGAGACGATATTGCTCATCATATTTGAACCAGCCTTGAGATCTAGTGGCAGCTAATCTGATATCTCGCATATATTTTAAAAACTCTTGGGCCCTCGTTCGATATTTTTCCAACATGACACTCATGTAGATCATGAAGGCATTTGTCCATTTTTCAATAGTCAGGTATGAGCCAACGTTTGATTTGACAATACAGAATTTTCCATCACAAACTTAGATCTATAAATTGTCCATCCCAAATTTTTTCTTTTAGTTTTAAAGGAATGTGCTGACCTACATTGTCAAAAATGCTAAGTTCTGGCACAGGAGTAAAATCAGAAAGATTTGAATCTAGAGAAAAGTCTGATTTTCCAAAATTACCAATACTGGCCGTCCCAAAATCCCCCAGGTCCAGAGCTGCATCACTCCCATCCTCGGAGGGTTCCTGAGCATGGAGGGGGGTTGGTTGGTGATCTCTCCCTTCATTTCCAGGCCTTTGCTGCCTGGTGTGCTGGCGAGGTTTTTTAAACCCTCTGCCCCTGGCTGGAGAAACCATTCCTCCCCTGGCATCTCTCTTCCTTTTAGGTGGCATGATTAGTGTAGATTGATAACCTGCTTTGTTGTTTCCACTTGAATTGAGCGGGATGAAAGAGGAAGAGGAAGTTGCTATACTAGTTAACTCTGCTGACTTTCTTATGAACTAGTTATCTTGTACCAAGTTGAGTCTTATTATCTAATGCCATACACTCAATTAAATGAGATTATCTCATATTCATTTCAATAATCTATCTTATCTTGCATGTAGGGGTCAGAAATATATCACCACAGAAAACATGTTAGAAATAAAACATTCCAAAATTGTGTATTTTATCAAGAAAATGAAGTTGATGAATATCAATATCACATTATGAAAAATAGAGAGAAAACTAATGTAGCATTGATTAACTTAACAATTTTTTTACAGGAAATTAAGAATAGCGATTTCGCACCACCGATTGGTTTTGTAGTGCTTAAAAGAAGCGAACTTCAGGAGCTGATTCAATCAAAAGACAGGTATAATATTATATATATATATATATATATATATATATATATATATATATATATATATATATATATATATATATATATATATATATATATATATATATATATATATATATATATATAATAGAGAGAGAGTTTTCATACTAATTTTTAGGCGATTATTTAAACACTGAAGTGTCTATGGATTTTTCCGTATGTCCGATCATGACAATGAACAGACGGCGGATGTGGCCAATATCCCAAAATTGAAATACTCAACCTACCCTGTAGTTTACATGGTATGGAAACTATTACACCACCATTCCACAACAGCGGATACTTACTCTTCCATGGCATCTGATCCCAACTCTGATGTTTTAAGAGGTCCGTGTTTGTTCTGCTCTAAATTTGTATTGTTTCAATGGACTTTTGAGATTGATTAATGTTCGTTATCTTCATGTTTCATTAATTCAATATACTGTCTAAAGAAAGTTATTTTTGGATTGTTTAATTTCCCTTCTTGGAACAAATATCTAGCCCCCCCCCCCTTCCCCTAGAGTTGGAAAGATAAAAAAAGATAATAAAAATTCAAAAAATAAATAAAGAATGTGTATAGAGTTTCCAGGCAGAAAGTATACATTTAAAAATTTGTTTTTAATTATGCATCTTTTAATACAAATAAACCATGAATCAATTGATTCAAGTGAAATTTGTTTATACAAGTTAAAGTAAATCTACCAGTCTATCAGTTTGTCCGATCTGTACAACAACTTTTTCACATTTTTAGCTTCTACTTCACTATTAGACTAATTATTAACCAAATTTGGCACCTAATATCCCTGTATGAATGGGATGCAATTTTCCTTAAATGAAAGACCACACTCTCAAATCAAGGAAAGGCAAAAATAAGCTTGGTACAGTGTATCTTTAAAAATTCTTCACAATAAACACTTGGCTAAAAAGTTGAACCATACTCAAAGCTTTCGAACATAGTAAAGATTCAAATTTGTTTCAACTATTGCCACATAGGACAAGGTGAAGCCTTAGTAAAGGGGCAAATTTTTAGATGAAAATATATAGGAAAAAAAGAACCACTGTGCCAGGGGAAAAATTAACCTCAGTAAAAATCTTTCTTACATAATTATAAACTGATGAAATCATAAACCCCAGAGATAGGATGGGTGCAACATTTTTAAGGTCAAGATCTAGTAAATGAAAGGTGACTAAAGATTTCTCAAATTTGAGAAACGAGTTCTTTTAATAATCCTTTACAAATACAGCTTGGTAAAATAAGGTGTATCGGGACATAATTTTTTGGTAAAATCAACCAAAAAACATTTTAAGCTGTCATTTTTAATGACAAATGAAGAAAGTTGGGTATGAATTTCAGAGTTTTTTTCCATCTCAGAAAAAGGAAATGTGTCCATACTGCCCACAGTCTTTAAAAAACAGTTTTCGTATCCTTTTGACCTCTACTTTAAAATGATATTAAATTGAATGTAGGTATCAGGGTTACTTTATTTTGACATGATTTAAAATTGAATTCCATGAAAATGCTTCATTTTCTACAAAATTCTATTATAGTCGTAAAGTACGGGAAAAAAGTTTAAATTGATTATGACGTCATAATGGATAAAATATGAAGATAACGAACAGTATTCAATCTCGAAAGTCCAATGAAATGATACAAATTTGGAGCAGAGCAAACACAGACCTCAAAATTTAGAGGTGGGATCAGGTGCCATGGAGGAGTGAGCATCCCCTGCCGACTGGTCACACTCGCCGTGTGGTCTTTGTCGTGATCGGAAAAAAAACCGGAAATATCCGTAGACAGTTCAGTGTATAAATAATGGCTTAACTTATATCAAGTATAAGAAAGTCGGTCAGCATTTGACTCAATGATGGGTTGTATGTGCTGACAAGGTCATTGTATCGACCGTAAAACTTACGAAAAGATGACTTCAAACGAGACTGTTGATTTCCTTGTTTCATCAACTTGTTTGTCAATATCTTGCCTCGTTTTGGAAATTGTTCATACGTAGAGCACCAATTTACTAGATCTTAACATACTGTAGATAATAAATCATTCCAATTGAGTACTTTGGATTGAAAATAAACATAAGAGTAAAAAAAAACAGTAGGGGATACTCTGTCACAATCATGTTTGTTCAATAATTATTTTCAGACAAGAAGAGAAAATTGAAGAGATAAACGAAGAACTGGAAAATCTTAAAGAAAAATTGAAAAAGAGCATGAACGAAAAAGAGAGGTAAAAAGTTTTCAAAAGTTACACATTTTTGTCGCAGTTGAACTTACATTGGAGGGGAGAGTGTACATGAAACAATGTCAGTCACCGTTCAACAATTATTTTCAGTCAATCGACGGAAATTGCACGGCTGAGTAAAGAACTCCATAGAGACAAAAAGGAATGCGAGAATCTACAGAAAAGGATAGATAAAAATATGGAGGAAATAGAGAGGTAAACAGTACAGCAGCCTGTGAACAGTAATCGTAAAAATTCTTTGTCAGATTTATTAAATGAGTTAACTTTTTTATATAATCATTACAAAGTTTTTGTTTTTCTACTAAATTTGTGCTTGATCGTCAAAAGTTTAAATGAAATATTAAAATATTTTAAGAAACACAAATTTGTTAGAAACGATAAAAAACATCTATCTATCTATCATCTAGCTAGATAGCTAGATAGAGAGATAGATACTCGATCGAACGTTCGAGTATCGAATACTAAAACTGGTACTCGGTTCATATTTTTTTCACATTTCAAAGTAAATGTAGTCACCAAAAAATTAAGTAAATGCCCGTTATCGCATGTGGCTGTGTATACGTGTATACAGTAATTACCCGTGACCAATCACCCGGTACACAGCTGTTCTCACCAAATGTACCCTTTAATTTTTGAATTGTTCAATGATTTATTTTCAGTGAACATCATTTGATTATAGTGATCATGCGAATGATCTGATTTTAAGAAAAAATCCTTTCAAGAGTAGCAGGGCCACACTTAATTAATCATGTTGATATGGAAACACTCATAAGTTGTGTTGATTCAAGCTTTTATTTCAAATTATTTTGGGGTTAGGATTGACCTAACTTGGGTATCAAATTTTATTCTGCAACTACCTCTTGCATTGACTGAATGAAGGTAACCTAATAAACCATAGCTATATTCGTTCAATGCCCTAATAAAGCCTCGTGCATGTATAGATGGTTTTGAATCAAGGTAATTTAAGCAGGAGTTATTTCCCATGGCCGCCATATTGTAGGCCAACATTCCCAGATCCCTTCATTATTCATCTAAGTTCAATTTGTTCTACTGGGCACTAGGGTGGAGATAACACTGTTTTTCTTATGAATTTATCTATACTACTATATTAAAATTATAGACTCGAATTTTTGGCCTTTAATACCGATAAATCGGAAGAGTACTGTCTTTTGTTTTATATATTTTATACATCATTGGTACTTGAAGATTACCAATTTGTTTTTATTTTTTCTCAATTAAGCTTCGCTAATTAATAATCAACGAAAATTCCTCAAAAAATTCCGGAAATCATCTGGATTTTTTTGGATTTTACAATCTTGCGCATGTGCATTACATTCACGCTAAATCACGGTGTTCAAATCAGAGAAGACAAAAGTACTAGGTAGATATATATTTGTTATTTCATAATTTCTCTAATAAGAAATCATAAATATATATGAACAGAATATAGAGCAAATATCCAATGAAAATTTACACGTATTTGTATTATCGTTTCTGAGTTTATCCATGCAAATGTGATATTGTGGCAACGTGGGTAATCATTCCCCATCTTGGAGACACATTTATTATATGTTATTTATGTCTCTGGCCATCTCAACGGAGGCAAAAAGCTCATGATCGTAGGAGCAATATTAATATAACTACCCGATTTTATTTTATTTTATCCTTCCTTTCTTTTATGCTTTTTTGAGGGGAAGGGGGGGGGGGTGTTACAACTCCAGCTAGAATCACATCTTAGTGAAGTAGGCATTCTTTTTCCGCCAAAAATAATAATAACATTATTTTCATTTCTTAATTTTGAAATAAATCGAAATATTCGAATAACGTCAATAAAACCGATATTTTCTTTGAAATGTGTCTAAATGTTTGCAACTTATAACGCGGTAAATATGAAACATAAACTAAGGGCAAAGAAATATTTGATTCCATGCAAAAAATTCACATTATATTTCTAACGAGGGTGTAGTGAAATTAATAGCACTATTGTAGGCTTATAGCTTTGTTATGTAAATACATTACCTCTGACCCTGACGTTATATAGAAGGGACAGCCTGTTCTTCTAAATATGTAAAGGTTGTCGTGGTAACTATGCTTGATAGGTAGTCTGAAGTCAGCCCGTACAGTTCATTCTATCAATGCTGCTAAAATATCGATCATTTGTAAAATATAATCCATGCATAGTAAATCTCAAAACTATGAGGTGGGTCAATATTAAGATCATAAAAAAAATATTTATTCATTGATGA